TTGTTACAACCCCACCATAATTATCCACTGACTCCTGTCTCCCTCCAGAATGTAAGCTCCCATTGTCCAGGGATTTTCAGCTATGTTCTGAACTCTAACCCCAACTCAAATACGCAATAGGTAGTAACTGAATAAATATGGTCCATACGGCAAATATCAATCTCCCCAATTTCCACGTCAGCAGCAAGAATATTTACATTAAATGTCAATTAAAAAGAATTCTTGCCTATTTATTACCAAAATACAGTTTCCTTAAAATGTATAGTTCAGTTTCATCTTGCTGCAGTTCCCAAAGTTACTACATATAATTATATATAAGGCAACTTTATTTTTAAAAAGGGATTTGCATTTTATTTTTTTAAAGATTTTATTTTGGGGGCGCCTGGGTGGCTCAGTCAGTTAAGCGTCTGACTTCAGCTCGGGTCATGATCTCACGGCTCATGAGTTAGAGCCCTGTATTGGGCTCTGTGCTGACAGCTCGGAGCCTGGAGCCTGCTTCATATTCTGTCTCTCCCTCTCTCTCTCTCTCTGTCCCTCCCCAGCTCATGCTCAGTCTCTCTCTGTCTCTCAAAAATAAATAAACATTAAAAATTTTTGAAAAAATGCCTTTATTTTTAAGTAATCCATATACCCAACATGGGGCTTGAACTCACAACCCTGAGATCAAGAGTTGCATGCTCTACTGACTGAGCCAGCCAGGTGCCCCTAAAAAGAGCTTTGCATTTAGTTGACTTCCTTTTAACTCTGCTCTCTAAAAAATGGACAATAAGGGGGAAAAAAATTATAATGGCAAAGGTTAGAGAAAAAAAAAAAAACAAGCAACAAACGTGTATTTTAAGTGCAGTGTAAGAGACCTGCACATCATATTTTATCTATTGGTTTTCTTTTTCAGATTAGAAACGAACAAGTTTGAGGAAAAATATGCCCCCATATTTCCCACAAACATTTGTACAGGAAGGGGAAACATATTTTTAGTGGCATCTCAGAATGGTTAGGAATATTTTGAGAGGATATAACTTAGATTTAAAGTTAGTTTTAATATGAAGACTAGATTTAACACAATCAGAGACATGGGCCTCAGTGGTTTTCCCTTCTCCATTGCTAGGTAATCGACATGTTTTTTCTCTGTTTGATCATAAGTCATTACAGTGACTTACCCAATCATTAGGCACTGCAACATTTTACAAAGATGCAAGAACGCATTTACTCTGTCATGCAATAATCTTCGTAATACCTAACAACATTGAGATGTATCAGCTGGTGCACTAATTATTAACACAAGAAAGTCCTATATAAGTAAAACATACAATGAATAATATGAAGCTTGGGGTGATAAAGTAAAACTTACATAAAGTCACAGAGCTGGTAAAAGGCAGAGTCTGAATTCAATTCAGATCAGTTGGTTGGCCTCTAAGTGTGACAAACAGGGGAAGCCCCTTAAGATGTCTAAGGTCCCTTCCAGTTCTAGCATTTTATAATTTCTAAAGAAACAAAGAAAATTTTCCCTGCACTTCTGGCTCATCTTGAACGATTAATCCCATTATCAGCTGGGAGACAAATCAGAATTTTCTCAGCATCTCTCCTGTTCTCCAGATGTACGCATGTGGACACAAGCTTTACACACAGGAACTCAAAAGAACAACCTTTCCTTTGAGAAGAAATGTTATTTCCATATATTTTACTGCCTGAATCTCTGCTTTAGAAAGGAGGATGATTAAAAACAAAAAGCCCGGACAAATAAATGTCTTAGAGATGCTGATGAAATGGGTGTTATACGAGTGTGAGTATTTGTACATAAAACCTAAATCTGCACTATTTTTCGTTAGTTCAAGTTTTAAGTTTCTAGTTACTAGGTCATGTACTTGTCGGAAAGGTAAAATTTTTTTCTTTTTTCTTTTAATGTTTATTTATTTTAGAGACAGAGAGACGGAGCACAAGCAGGGGAGGGGCAGAGAGAGAGAGAGGGAGATGGAGCCTGAAACAGGCTCCAGGCTCTGAGCTGTCAGCACAGAGCTCGACACAGGGCTCGAACCCACGAATCATGAGATCAGGACCTGAGCCAAGGTTGAACCGACTGAGCTACCCAGGTGCCCCTCAGAATGGTAAATATTTGTTTCAGTTCTGCATAATGCTGAATTCACTCTTGCCATTAATTTAATAGTTACAATATGACCTCTGCATTTAACTCTGTAATCAGCAATGCATATCACCAGTCAGATGAACATTTGACACACTAGATGGCATGCATTACTTAATTACAGAAAGCATATGTAACAACAAATATTTGTATAGCGTGTTACTCAACAAGACTTCATTGTAGGAATGAACTCATCTCACAGGTGAATAAAAGAGTCTCAGAAAGGTCAGTGACCTGTCCAACTTTGAACTGCCAGTAAGGGGCAGAGTAGCACTTGGAACATACTCGGAGAGTTCATGAATATAAAAACACTGTGTTAGGGATGATGTGTTATTACCTCTCGGAAAGACAAAGGGGGCGCCTGGCTGGCTCAGTCAGTTAAGCCTAAGCACCTGATTTCAAGTCAGGTCAGGATTTCGTGTTCTTGAGTTCGAGCCCCGCGTCCGGCTTGCTGCTGTCAGTGCAGAGCCCACTTTGGCTCCTCTGTCCCTCGCTCTCTGCCCCTCCCCCGCTTGCATGCCCTTTCTCTCAAAAATATTTTTTTAAATTTTTTAAATTAAAAAATGTTTATTCGTTTTTGCGCGCATAGGGGAGGGGCAGAGAAAGAGAGAAATACAGAATCTGAAGCAGGCTCCCCAGAATCTGAAGCAGCACAGAGCCTGATGCAGGACTTGAACTCATGGACCACAAGATCATGACCTGAGCCGAAGTCGGACGTTCCACTGAGCCACCCAGGCGCCTTCCCAAAAAGTAAACATTAAAAAAAAAGACAATTGGAGAATACTAAACAGTCTTTTTACTCTTTCTTTTTTTTCCTAAATAGTCCTAAAGACTGGTATTGGGATAATAAATCCTTGGCTCTAGAACACCAAGTGCATCGTGCAGGTGAGAATGCAAAGTCTAAGTTGGACAAGAGTGACTAGAGGAAATTGTAAGACGTCCAGGTGAGAGGGCTATTGTAGCACAGGAAAAAGAAGGGTGAGCAGAGAGGGAGGCCAGCAGAGGTTCATCTGTAACACAGGGAGGTGAAACGAATGGGTGACTCGTCTGGAATGCCCTACCCTTGCCCCAGCAGGTCAATGTTCTCGGGCTCTGTCCTCAGAGGCTGACTGACCTTACATCCAAGTTCTCCCTTGCCTTCTAGCTTCTGGTTGGTTCTGTGGACGAGGACCCTTGACAGAGATGGAAGGGGTGGAAGTAAAGTCAAGCATTGCCCTCGGCACTCTCCCTGTGAGGTCTTCAAAGGTCATGACTCTTCTCTAGGGCTCCTGCTTTCCGTGACTGCCCCTCTCCAGGTGACAGTGTCCTTCAGGCCTCTACCCAGCCAGGTGCATGCACCAACCCCGTGGTCCTCCTATCCCCACCCACATCTGTGGTATCAGTCCTCATTATCCCAGTGCACATGCTGCTGGAACCCTGACTAATACATTCTGCAAGATTCCTCCCAGCTGTCACTCTGCACGTGATGATTTTCTAAACTACTGAACTTGGTTTGCTTGTTCTTCTTTCTTGGCTTCTTCACTTGAGGTTCAGATGGTGCACAAATTATTAACCTGAGAAAGTGCTTCGGGTTCACTCCATTTCCTTAAAAGTATAACTATCGTCCACAATCACAAGAGAGAAGCCAGAAGTAAGTAAAATAAGGGCACAGCTTTATTTCTCTACAAGGCAGTAAGTACACTGTCATATCAAAGTTCAGTGCCGGCCATCTTGCACCAAATGTTCTTAAGGCAGCAACTGGCTATAGACCCCAGGCTCTCGACCCCAGCTGCGAACACAGGTTCTGTGCGGCAGTTCTGAGACCTTACACTTGGTAACCATGGGGGACGCTGATCAAACACATAACCCCTGAATTAAAGAACAGTTAGGCTGAACTCAAAACAAAACACAGAACATCAACAACACAGATCTCCCAAAAAAGAAGTAAAGAAGTGCAATGCGAGTTCTTCTAAACCAACAATAACCAAAAAAAAAAAAACCAATGACATCAACAAATGCAAAATCTCCCAAACCAGTTTTCCAAGGTATTACAAAAGGAAAAAAAAGTACATACATATATATAAAAAATTAACAAGTCTGAAATACTAGTGCATAGTCAATTACCTAACACCAGGTTTCTTTTCTTTCCGTCCAAAGCTCTACTGCCCCTCTGATACTAGCAGCACGTCTACAGGCTAAGACCATAGCAGCAAAACACATTTTTCATTTGGCATTTACAAAATTAAATTACGGAATAAAAATATAATTTTTTATAAAACTATTTCACACAGTAATAATTTTTAAAGCAAGCTGACAACAACAAAAACAACTCATAAAATGGTTTAGTACAATAAATGTACCTCCAATGTTATTAACCATAAATGAGCATTTACAATCTTGATTAATAATCCCATGGTATTAAGTCAACATTTATAGTAATGCATTGTGTTTAGTGATTGAGAAAAGTGAAATATTGGAGTACCTTTTTTTTTGTGTAAAAATTTCAAAAACCCCATCACAGGAAAAAAATACTGGTCTGTGGGATCCTCTAAAATACAGATAAATCATTTTATGTTTAAAAAAATCTGCATTAAGATATTAACAACTGACTACAATTCATTACCTAATAATTTAGGTAAGACTGTTATTTATTTATTTATTTATTTATTTATTTATTTATTTATTTAAAAAAATCCTTTTAGTTGGGTGAAATCCCATAAGATTTCATCCACCTAAATGCACTTGGTGCTGCTCTCAACTGTTGTACCACAACAAAAATAGGTTCTTCTCCCATTCATGAAAAGTTTCATGTGAAGGAATGATATATCATCCCAAGTCAACTTCTGAAGTGTTCTGAAAACCATAATGCTTGTCTGGAAACGTCTCACATGACCAGAGTCCGGGTTGAGAAGGCATTCACATATTTACGAGCTTGACCAGAAGCTGTCATCTGATCTTCTGTCTTTCCACAGGATGCGGTCTCCCAGGCACCGCTACAAGGCTAATGGGGGGAAAAGAGGGCAATGGCAAGGTCAGACAGGAAGCCCATACTTGAGCCCACAAAGGATTCCCGATCCCAGCGGAACCAGCGTAGAGAATTCTGACCTCAGGATGGCAAGAGCAGTTACCAGGGAGCCATTGTCAGATAAAATCTTAACTCTCTGCCCCCCAGCATTCGGACGTGCTATTAAGGGCCAGAAATCATTTATTGCTAAGAGAAAACCCCACTTCAAACGATACCATAAGCTACGGCTGCACACTTCCCACTTTTGTCTCTTGGGTGATTTTACAACGCTGGAGACAGAAAGGAGCATAATTCCCCCAGGTACCTAATGTGTCTCATGGCAAACTGGTGAGTGCTTCAGTCCTCTGAGTGAAGAAGCTCCTGGAGGTGCTTGAATCAATTAACACCTACTAAACATGGTATCTATTTTGTAGATACCAATTAAGTATCAATTAATTTAGAAATATCTGTTCACCAGGATAGACACACTGGAAGATACAGATGGAACTAGTATCTAATAGGCAGCCAGCGTTTGACACTTCACGGTCATGATCTCATTTACACAGCACCACCCCCCTGAGGGGGAGGTACGTTCTGTCTTCAGTCAGGCAGGAAATGGAAACCCAGGGTGGAGATAACCCTCCAAAGCCTCACTGAGGGTGAGGAGTGGAGAGGCTCTGCACCCAGGTTTGTCTTCTGCACAGCCCTGGCTCTTGCCTTCCCTCCATACTGCTTCCCACTGAAATATGTGCTATTTATGCTCTACGTAGTTCCCAAAAGGATTTAGAATAATTACAATATAAATATAAGATAACAGGGTTTAAACAGTGGGCAAGGCAGGGTCACAGGGAAACGGGGAAAAAATAAATAACATGATGATCTGGGTGAGATTTGTACGTAAAACACTTGTCATGAAGTACAGCGCACCAGCTGGGTGTAAGCCTCAAGCTGGTCTCTGAGCTGTCCAGCCGTCAACGCAGAGGTAAACAGAAACTCAAGCAGATGTAAGATTTGGGGTCCCTAAGCTCAAAACTAAACCAGCGGTTTAGTCAAAGTGCAACTATTCCTGGAATTGACATCTAAGAGCGATTCTTCCATGGGACAAAAGAAGACAGGAAAGGCCTCTCTGCTCTCTAGAGTGTCCTTTAGGGGACAGAGTGAACAGGTGTGGAACACGAGGAGTAGTAATGGGCAGGGTAAGACGTTGGTGGTGCCCCGCCCAGGTGAAGAGAGGGTGGCACCACGAGGAATTGCCTGGGAAATGGCAAGAAAAGGCAGATTCATTTATTCATGTTTTAAAGTTTATTTATTTATTTTGAGCGAGCGAGAGAGAGAACGCCAGCTGGGGAGGGACAGAGAGAGAGGGAAAGAGAGAATCCCAAGCAGGCTCCGTGCTGTCAGCGCAGAGCCCGACGTGGGGCTCGATCCCAGGAACCGTGAGATCACGACCTGAGCTCAGATCAAGAGTCGGATGCTTAACCGACTGAGTCACCCAGGCGCCCCGAGAAAAGGCAGATTTATATGGACCAGTGAGAAAGAAGGAGTGTACCTGGGTGGAGAGAGAGCACAAAAGAACCAGGAAGCTGCAATTTATACATTGCTTGTGGGAGAGACCGCGAGACAGAAAGAGATATAGTGGGTCAAGTGCAACATTTAGCAAGTGCCACCCATGCTGCCCAGTCTCACAGGTTTTATCTCATTTAATTCTTACACAAAATACCTGGGGCACAGGTGGGAGTCAGCGCACCTGTTCTACACACTGGCCAATTTTAAAGGAAGAGAGAATTTAGGCAACATCCTCAAGGACACCCAGCTAAGAAGTGATGAAGCAAGTCCCTACTGAGGGTAAGATGCTGCTTCCATGAGCATCCTCCACAGTGGAAAACAGTGGGGGCGGCTCAGTGGACTTGGGATTGCAGGAAGAAGCATTTAGATGGGCAGGGGGAGTCGAAGTCATCAGACTTTGTAGCAAACAGGAGTAATTCTGAATGAATGTGGTATTTGTCTGGTGATGGGGTTTCCCAGCCTAGTGGCTGGAACAAAGTTGCAGTGACATAAGGCTTACGGTGCCACGTTTCTAAATTGTGAGCTTTCAGAGGACGCAAACCGGCTTTCCCGGCTTCTGCCCAGTCTGCCATGCTGTCTCACCACCAAGGCAAAGTTGCCCAAGTTTACATATGTTTGCTCTGAAGGCTCAGAGGTTCAACACATAACTTGAAATACTACATAGCAAGATGGATTATTATAATATTTTCCTGGAGCTGTGTATCACAAAGATGACAGGTGTTTTTTTTGGAGCAGACTTCTGCCACTGGGTCACATTTAATCTTTTCCTAGACAAAATCACCAGGGTCTTTGAAATAGTTCTGAATAAATGATGTTTCTCTAGGTTCAAGCAAGTGGACTAAAGGTACATATTTCTCTAGTGTATATCTGCCCATACAGAGTTCATATTTCAGTTGAGTTGGCTGCCTACGTGTTTTTGCTAAATTTTTGGTGCAGCACTGAAACACCCAATTGACACATGACACCCAATTAAAAAAAGGAAAAAGCTGATGCTACCGTTTCAATTACTGAGCTTGCATCTGGAGTCCCTGTAGCACTGTGACATATCACTACTCAAGAGTGAACAGGTAAATATGGCAGATGTCTACATGAAGTACTGTGCAGTGCTCAGAACCGATGATGCACACAGAACAAAGTGCATGGATCTAAAAAAACAGGTGAGTAAAGGGGCGCCTGGGTGGCTCAGTCGGTTGAGCATCCAACTCTTGATTTCAGCTCGGGTCATGATCCCAGGGTTGTGAGATCAAGCTCTGTGTTGGGCCCCGTACTGAGCGTGGAGCCTACTTGGGATTCTCTCTCTCCCTCTGCCCCTACCCCCCCACCTCAAGTAAAAAAATAAATTAATTAAAAAACAAGTAAAGAAACAGCAGAAGGAAGTATCTTCATATACTAATATCTTATATGCAAATCCAAATTACATAAAGATACATACAAAACCCAAAAATACATATTTTGAGAGAACACATGCGAATGAATGGAGTGGAAAGGAGAATGTAAGTTGAGGTTGGAGAAAAAAATGAGAAGAAAGGACAAACGTTTCTATTTTCCTCTGGTTAAGAATTCTTCTACTTTAGTGGTGCTTCAATTAATGCAAACTTAATTTTCGAAATGCGTAAATCAAGTATCTTAAAATACTATGTGAAAACAATCTCGCGTGAATACAATACCCCGTCTCTTGGTAAAAGTCAAATTCTGATCCTTGGCTATACAGTACTTAAGTTAATGCAGGATTCCCAGAATCTGTTCAGGAGAACCGAATACTGAGTATTATCAGTTTCATATATTCTCAACTTGAAATTTGACTGTGTTCTTACTGGATGGCCCACATGGCCCACCACTTTATTCATGTTTGCCTCTTTCTCCAGGGCCAGATATTCAACACAAGATCAGGATTTTTTTTTAAATCATACATTTTTAATTAGTCTTTTGAGGAAACTTTTCAAACAGTCAACTTTTCCTCAGCCAAGAATGGATTTTTCCAAGAAACACATCGAATTCCAGAAAATGGACCATCCCGGGGTCATATGAGCCTTGGAGCTCAGAGTCTCAGGAGGGCAAGCCCCTTGGAAGACCTGAACCTCCCAGCGTGGACAAATGCCAGGACCCAGTAGTCATTGTGTGCCAGCTCCTTTTCTGCACTCTGTGAGTACTCCTTGCAACAATGAAGAAAAATCCAGTCAGAACAGACACAGACCTATAGGGTGAGAGTTGAGGCAGAGCAGAAGGTCAAGGACTCAGGTATGAAAAGAAGTGTTCAGGTCCAACAGCTGAAATGACAGCGGCCTCCTCTTTTGCTATTTCCTTCTCTCTCCTTACCTTGAAACCCTGGGGCCATTGGCCAACTTTTCAAGCAGACAGAATAGTTTTGACAAAGGGGGATTAAATGTCTTTGTGCTAGAAGAATATTTTTTAATACTGTCATCTGTTATCTTTGTGCCTCTCTATTCCTTCCTAAATTTTAGTTTCATTTACACTAAAGAACTGATAAGAATTACGGATTTCTGTCCATGAATTCTTATGTGAATGCAGACCTGTCACTCTACCCTAATTCATTTCAACATTAATAATCCTAGGGAACATTCTCCTCCTCTCACCTGACAGTCACCTTGTTTATCCTGTAATGTGCCTTTAATTGCTCCCGGGCAGAAGTGAACTGCAAACAGACTGTCAAAGCTTTAAAGGGGATATCCTGCTAGGGCACTTTAAACAAATACTGGGATCCTTTGTGGAAAACAGAAGAAATAAAATGAGTCAAGACCATGTCCACAGGTGGTGTTCTGTCAGAATTAGATTATCTTCACATTTTCATTTGGAATATAGTTTTTTTTTTTTTATCATGCTGAACAACTGCTGTTATTATTATATTATATTGCAGCTTCACACAATAGCTGCTCATGTCAAAAACCTTGGCAAGGTATGCGTTTTACAATTTGCAGACCTAATAAAAAATTTGCATAAGTCATAAAAAATGATTTTGTAAAACCAAAGCAACTCGTGAGATGGCATTGGATTTTTCTTTTGGTCTGTTTTTAAATAATAAACAGATACGAATGGTGTCCTAAAGAATAAGGATAAAAATTATCTGATTATTCTGTTTAACTCACCTGAAGAAAATGCTTACTCTGGACTAAAATTCTAAAAGTCAGAATTCATTCCCCAAAGAGCATCTTCTAAAGATGTATCAATTATAAGAGATAATGCAAAAATCTTGAAAGCTGCTGTATCTTAAAAGTCAGAGATAAACCTGAGAAGAAATGTAAGGCAAGGTCTATGGCTACCCAACTTTTCTCATGCACGACTGCTTCCCTATGTCTGCACAAAACAGTGGAATGCCCCCAATTTCGGGATTTTCAACTTGTCACAGAAAAGAGCCTTAAAAACTAGAGAATTAAAGGTCCAGACGGTGATTGGAGGTTACCCTATCCACCAGT